ACCCACATGGCAGCTAACAACTGTCTGTAACTCCAGTTCCAGGGGATCCGACAGCCTCTTCTGACCTCTGCAGGCATTGCATGACATGAGTGCACTTACCTACATGCAGGCAATACAACATACACATAAAATAAAAATAAAAAATTTTTAAAAGTTATTTAGACAATTATTTCTCATTGATGATTTGTTCCTCATCAGAAAGTGCTGCTCATATGTAAGACTTCAAATCTAGTCTCCAATACTGTAGTGCCCACCTGTAGCTAAGGGAGACAATAAGCTATTGGTCTAAAATGATGGACAAATTAGTTTTCTCCCCCTATCTAGAAGCCTTTGAGAGGGAGCTGACACTGATTCTAGCCACTCCAACAGCTATCAAAATACCTGAAAGCAAATCCTGAATCCATCACTCTCGAGTCCAGCCTTGGCAGACAAAAGAAAAATGAGGAGGAACCCAACAGAGGGATGCTTTTGGAAGCCCTTGTCAAGAAATTCCAATGGACTCTCATATGAACAATTGAAAATTGCCCTGTTCTGACTTTTTTCTAGTTCCCTGTCTAGAACTTGTAATGCTAATTACCAGAAGAAAAAGTACATGAAAAAAAGAAACAGAGGATCTTATCAGAAAAGAAGGATTCTCAAGATACGTGAACCAATATCCAACTTCTCTAGGACCAACTTCTCTTTTCCAATAGAATCTTTAAATAGTAGAGAAGACTACAAGTCCTAGATCTAGCTTGCTATTATCTTTCAGAGTGATTATATAATGAATTAATACATGTAAATAACTCAGAGTAGAGCTTGTTCCATAATATATGTTAAAATATCTGCTTTTACTAAAAAAAAAAAAAGAGCCGTAACCCATATCTAATGACTTGGACTAGGGAGAGGTCCCTGAACAGGTGTTGCAAAGGTCTCAAGGTTATTACTAAATAAGCTGAACATAGTCTCTCTTTTAGGCTCTACCATAGCACTCCTCAGCCTGTAGCTATCTGACAAGCTATATCCACTGCCTCACCAAGGAGATGATTAGAAGAAAAACACCCTGGGCTTCCCTAGAACCAAAGAATTGCAGTTTATGATTTATTTACACTAGAGTTTAGAGAACTGCCTTTGCACAAAATAGAGACATCTGAAGGAACAGACTCAGAATCAGGAGTGTAACATCCCAGGGAAGAGTTGCCACAACCGTGCTTGCAGAGGGGTGGGGGAGGATGTTCCAATGACAACTTACAGGTATCGGTGGAGAAAAAGTAATAAAAGATGAAGACACTTCTTTGGATTTTTTCCCAGTCAGTGACTATTTGAAATGTCAGTGAATTGGATGATGATTCAAACACGGGAACGAAGTCATTTTTACTGCAGACTGTCCCTAGCAGAGGCCTGCTGGTGGACTCTCCTTCAAAGACCTTAATGTTTTCACTTTCACACCCTCCATTTGTATCCAACCTGTGAAGAGAAAACTAGCCACTAGCAAAACGGGTTTCAAAAAGCATTGTCTCCTGTTCACATTAGCATGGTAATTTATAAAGCAGGAGCAATCTGGTTCATCTAAACTCTCCAAGACCAGCCCAACCTCCTGGACATCAAACCACAACCTTAATGGGCTCAGGAAGGTGAACTACCTTGATGGCACCTTATACTTAGTAAATGGGAAGGCGGCCTAGAAGCCAGGACTCCGAGTCCTTTTCCTACTTCTATCGCTCCTGTTCTCTGTGCTCTTGTGACTATCTGGTGTAGAACTTTCTAATGTAGGATTGATCTTCACTGATGTTTGGGATCCAGGTCTGTTGAAAGGAGCGACAACGCCTCCCTGTTGGCCACCTGTCTCCAGGTGGAGTAATCCTCAGCAGCTCCCCAGCTGCCCCGTCCTTCCGTACATCCTCAGTTCCTCATTCTGAAAGATGGTCCAATACTCTGCTCTGCTCTGAGCAAGGCAGACCCAGGATTTCAGTTTTCTGCCCATTCTGTCTGGATCTCTCCAAATGCCCACAGAGGACATATGTCCATGATGGCCTAGAGGCAATGCTGTGAGGTCTCCAAATGTCCACAGAGGACATATGTCCATGATGGCCTAGAGGCAATGCTGTGAGGTCTCCAAATGCCCACAGAGGACATATGTCCACGATGGCCTAGAGGCAATGCTGTGAGGGTAGGGAACCTGGGCTTCCCTCCACGCAGCACTTCCCTGCCTTGTAAATTTGGACAAGCAGTTTAACCTTTCCTGGCCTCAGTTTTCTCTTCTGTAAGAAAGAGAGGCACCACACCTTTTACTCTACTGTTCTGAGGATGAAGCACCTACCACAGGTTTCACACACAAGAAGTCTTCAATGAAGGTTGAATCTTAATTTCTACTGACTTTTGCCCTTACCATGAACAAGGTTTATATTTCTAATTAGCCCTCCTACTCCAGGAAGTCAGTAAGCACCCTTCTTTGCTTTTTATTGAAGGTCACTTCCAGCTTCTGAGGAGGAAGGCCCATGTTCTCCAAGTGTGTTGGACTGAACAGCTACATTAGAGTCACTTGAGAATTTGTTTGCTATACAGATTTTCAGGTCCCACCCACCCTATCTGAATTAGATAGTAGAGACCCCAGGCGGCCCAGCACGTGTGCCTTAATGAGCCCTCCAGGAGCTCCTGGTGGTGCAGAGAACCACAGCGGTGGGATGAGAGCAGGAGTGTGGAGCCACAGTGCTGGGATTCCATTCCTTTCCCTCTTCTGGTGCTCTGGAGCTGTGGGTCCATTGAGTGGTGTCTCTGAACTTTGGAAATTGGATCACCCGGTGCAGAGGGTTGCTGAGAAATCAACTAGGACAAGTTTCATGAAGCCCTGAGGCTCTATAGTGTCCAGAGGCCTCTGAGGTCCCAGCGTGGCATGGTAAGGGTATTATAAAAACCATTCATAAATGCATGCTGTTCTCAAAATAAAAATTCAAAATATTGCCAGTGCTGGGTCCTGCCCACATGGTCTGTTATCTAACTGTATATAGAGTACGGTCTAGAAATTTGGATTTTTGGAAGATTCCATAATGGTTCTACTATAGATCAAAGTTTGGAGCCAAAGTTTAAGGTTTTAGCCTACAGTTTAGAACTAGACTAGCTGAGAACTAACCCTGATCTTTCCACGTGCTGTTAGTGTGACCTCAGCAAGTTCTCAAACTTCCTATGTTTGTAACCCTAGTGCCAACCTCACAGGACTTGTGTGACCCAGAGTTTGGCATTCAGTCCTCAGTGATGACCAGCAGCCACCACCATCACCCCCCCTTATCATTATGACTACTTTCAGCAGTAGCTGAATTCCCTCCACAGGAACCCATCTCCCACCCCAGTGTCTGCACCCTCCTCAGGATGATGAAGCCTTCACTTACTGGACATGGGAGAAGATGATCCTGATGCTCCTGTTTTCAGGTATCTCTATGGTCCAGGTACAGTTCTCGTCATCATTGAGTTGTAGGATCAGGGCTTTGTAGGTCTCTCCCAGATTGGCCCCTCCCAGACTGGCCGTGCAGCTTGATCTGCCTGGTAGACACCATAGTTGGTGTGGAGGAAAGGAGCAGTCCCTTCCCCTCCAGCAGGGACTAGAATTCTACCTCCCACACAGACTAACATACAAGCATGCAGGTAACTGGGACTGGAATCCCAGCCACTCCAAACCACACCACAAGCAATTGGTTTGGCCTTTTAGCCCATGGGGGAGAATTGTGATTTCGCTATGTAGTCCATTAAAAGAACATGTCTGGGCCTGAAGGAAGATGGTTTTCAGAGAAAGCTTTGTATTTAGAATATGTGGGGAAATCTTACAATCCAATAGTTAAAAGCCAGGGTCAGTGAGATGGCTCAGTGGTAAAGGAATTTGCTGCCAAGATTGACAACCTGAATTCCATATGGCAGGAGAGAACTCTGCAGGTTGCCTTCTGACCTCCACTTGCACGTGGCATGTGAGAAAGCATGTGCTTGTGCACACACACAAAATAAACAAATGTAAAAAGAATTTTTCAAAAAGGCAAAGAACCCAATTAACAATGGAGAAAGCTTGGTATGGGGGACACACATCAGAATCCCAGCATTTGGGAGGCCAAGGAAGGGGGATCCCACATGAGAGGCCAGCTTGGGCTACATTGTAAGACCCTGACTCATAAAGGCAAAAACAGCAACAAGGACAAGAATAGGCATTTTTCATCAAAAGAGGCTAAAATTCAAAACCTCAAGTTTTTAGAAACAAAGCTTCACATTTTCATCTGTAACTGATGAGTAAAAATGTGGAGGTTTTTAGATGTATTTTTATTTGTGTGTGTGTGTGTGTGTGTGTGTGTGTCTGTCTGTCTGTCTGTCTGTCTGTCTGTCTGTCTGTCATGAGAGTCAGGAGGCACCTCTGGAGGCAAAAAGAGAGCATCAGCTCCCCTGGAGAGTTACAGGCAGTGGTAAGCCACTGGATACAGGGAATTGAACTCGGGTCCTCTGGGAGAGCAGAAAGAGCTCTTACCGACTGAGTCATCTCTCTAGTCCCTTGAAAATGTTCTTGCAATGTCTTTTACTTATGTTTACCTAACAATAACCACTCATACATTTGTTAAGAAGAAGCAAAGACAATTGAAGGAAAGCATGACCGCACAATCCCACCCACCCAGATCCAGCATCTTGAGACCTTCCTGTTCCTTCCTTTCCTCCTCGCCTCTTAGGGTTTTGAAAATGTTCCAGTGTGTCTTTCTAAGCATAAACACTATCGTGTTGTAAAAACTTTAAGCATTTTTCCTCTTAATGGAGAGCCTCTCTTATAGATCCTTATAATGGCATTTTAAAAATATTATTTTTATATGATGTATATGAGTGTATTGCCTGTTTATGTGTAAATGCACCTGTGTCATGTGGAGGTCAGAGAGGGCATTGAATTCCCCCAGAACTAGAGTTACAGATGGTTGTTAGCTGCCATGTGGGTGCTGGGACTCAAACCCAGCTCCTCTGCAAGAGTGGCCAGTGCTCTTAAGCGCCGAGCCATCTCTCCAGCACAGTGTCATTTTTTAAAACTTGCCAGAACAGAGGCTGGAGAGATGGCTCAGTGGTTACGAGCACTGACTGCTCTTGCAGAGGACCCGGGTTCGATTCCCAGCACCCACATGGTGGCTATGAACTGTCTTTAGCTCCAGTTCCAGGGGGATCCGAAACCCTCTTCTGACCTCCGTGGCACTGCACGACACGGGTGCACTCACAAACACGCAGGCAATACACTTATACACATAAAATAAAAATAATAAAATATTTTTAATAAAAAAGAACTTGCCAGAATATTTCTTTGTATCAATTTACCCCAGCAAAATCAATGACCAAAACTTACATTTTTAAAAATTATACAAATGTCTATATAAGTGGATAGGTATCTGTTACTTTGGGGATTACTTCTCTAAGATGCGCTGTTAAAAGTGAAATTACCCAGTGAGATTGTATGTGCTTTTTCTAGTCCATTGAACATGGTCCTGTAGACCTGAGTGAAATGAGTGTGGGAGCAAAGCAAGATCCCCAGAGAGCACTAAGTTGAATCATTCTCTGTATTGAGGGCAGCGGCAGATAGGAAAGCTCTCAAAAGTTTGGGAAGAGGCCTGGTAAAAGCAGGTCTTCCTTGTTGAGGAACCTGGTTCCATCTTCTTACCTTCAGCCTTGGTGAAATTCAACTGTGCCCAACAGGAGGCAACTAAAATGGCCCCAAGGACGAGCCTTCCTATGACTTCCATCTTCCCAAGGGGCTCAGCAGTCCTTGGGGCCAACAGGCTTTTATATGTCTCTGGGTTTCATAAGCTTGCTGGCCACCTCTAGGGAAACGTGTCAGTTGGTGATACTGGTGAGAACATGACAGCTGTGGGGCTGCATCCTGGCCAGCAGTTTCCAGCAGTCCACTCATTCCTCCCTGGCTTCTAGAAGGGCTGCAGGAAGGCCAGCCAGGCTCTTCACAGGACTCAGCAGCTGCAGAGCATTTCCTCTGGAACAGGAAGCGATCTGCACTTGATCCTTGGCCCTTTCTGTGCAGCTCAGGAATGGGGTGGCATCGTTGACCTGAGGCCATGACTGTTCTCCGAGAATGGAAAACTTTAGGGTCCAAAGCTCAGCAGGCCAGGGTTTAACATGGCATCTGGGCAAACTGTGAACCAAGCTGGGTCCTCAGATGCCTGATGGGGTGGACCCAGAGGGAGAAGAGAGGCTAAGGGTGATGGGCAGGTAAAGAAAGTTCAGGTCAGGCTCCTTGACCCTGTCTGTCTGCAGAGGCCAAAACAGGTGGATAGAGTCCATCAGGCACAGAGTTTTCAGCTCAGAGAAAGGAATCCTGATGTCTGAGGTAAGACTAGGAAGAAGAGTGTGTGGAGGGGGCTATTCATTCATTCATTCATTCATTCATTCATTCATTGAGAGAATATTCATTGCTCACTGTCCTTAGGGCCTGGGCATACAGACCTGAGCATGAGACATATGGACCCTCTCCTCATGGAACTTGCATTCTAAGTGGGGGAAACAGATAACAAATTAATACAGGGACAGGTATGTTGACCATGCTAAGAGATGGAACAGAGTATGGTGTTCTTGGGTGGGAAAGGATGAAATATTAGGGGAGGGGAAAGGCATCTTGAGAAGATGAAATGGGAGCGAAGACAAGAAGATAGAGGCAATCGAGAATCTCGAGGGGTTTCATTCAAGGTGCAAGTACAAAGGCCCTGGGGCAGAAACTAGTTGATATGACTACAGACTGGACATAAGTGAAGATGGGGGAGAAGGAAGAAGGGATGGAAGAAACTTCACGCAACAGTTGATGAAGACAGACCCGTAGGACAGAGGGAAATTTCCAGTTGTATTCAGTGGAGTGTCACCTGAACCACCACTTTCTAAGACTCATCCAGCAGCTCCATGGAGGTCAAGGTGAGGCTGAGAGTCCTCTAGGATGGAACCTTCATAGACCCCTTCACTCCTCTCTGACCCAGCTGCTCTGCAGGGTCACTCAGCCCCAGACTGTCTCAGGGAGGGCATAGTCCTCAACTCTGCCCCAGAGGATCCATTCCTGGTGAGCCCTGGGTCAGGGAGTGGCCCTATACCCTATGCGCCTGTGGCAAGGTGGCCGCCAGGACTCTGAGGAGTGGTGCTCACAGGAACTTGGAAACTCCCCAGGTCCCCACACAGCTCTGCTGGGTTCCTGTCATCACAAGTAGCTACACAGGAGACAAGGACCTGGTATCAAGGTGGGCACTGAGTGGGGGACCTTTGTGTGGGCTGAGGACCATCCTGATTACTAGAGGCTGTTCACCATCAGCCATGTCTGCACATGCTCACCCCATCTTGGGCTTTGTCCCAGTCACTCCTCTGCCCCATGGGGGGCATCTCCTACCTCCCCAGTCCACAATCATCACTGTGTATGAGGCTTTGTGGTCACCATGGGAGGGGCCAGGCAGAGGAGAGGGAAGCCTGGGATCCAGGCTTCTTACGAAGCCTGCTCTGTGCCATTGCCGTGAGCCAGGGCTGTTGCGGAGTGGGAAGACCAACTTCCTCTCACTGATCCTTGGTCCACTACACAGGTCCTCATTCTAAACAGGTAACTGATGCTGAGAGAGGTCAAGGGACTTCCCCAAGTGAAAGCCAAGTTGAGATGCAACCTGAGTTCATGCTCTACAAGCTTGCATGTGTTCTATCCTCCTGCCCATCGGGAGAGTCCTGAAAATGCCATGACCTACCTGCCTCATGTCTCTTCTAATGCCCAAACCAGACCTAGTCCCCCAGGACAGGACATGCTGCCACAGGCCTCCCAGTGCCTGGCACTCAGCTGCCCCCTGGCTGGGATGAGAGGGACCTCAGATGTTCTCCATCCGCTAGGACCTTGCTTGGGACAAGAGAAGTCAAATCCAGGCAAGGAATGAACACTATTCTAGAAAGTCAAAAAGGCCAGATCCCCTTTACCTAGAAAACCTTGGGCTGGTTCCTTCAGACCTCATATGGAGGCAGGGTATTGACCTCTTCAGAAGTATGTTGGGGCTAGAGTGCTCAACTTTTGGGGTGGGCATCCATGAATGGTTCTTGCAGAGCAGCAAGGCCTCCCGATGTCCCCCTTACTTTGTCCACTACTAATGTCCCGAGTCTTTCTGACCTAGAGGAAGCAGCTTCTGAGTTTGCTTTTCCTCTTTTTAGTAAAAAAAACTTTACTACGTGACAGCTTGTGACTAAGTAACAACTATCTTCAGTATATCTGGGATGCCCACAGGTGGAGATTTGATCAAGGAAAGGAAATAAGGGGCATCACAGATCACAGATGAGGCATCTGTAGCAGGAAGGAGGTCAAGGGGCCTCCCCTGGAAAGAGTAGATATGTTGAGTGCATCCTTCTGCTTATGCTGTAGTGAAGGGACCTGGGCTTCGGCCTTGGGATACAGGTTTTTGTTAGAACTGAAGATATTGTCAGGTCCATCAGCACTGGTCCATGTGAAAGGGACCCTACAAACTCACTATCTCATTGAAGATGACCTTGAACTCCTGATCCTCTGACCTCTACCTCCCCAGTGCTGAGATAACAGGTGCATAGCACCAGGGTTCACGTTTCATGTTCGTTTGAACCCACTAAGCTCAACCCCATCATTACATACTTCAGTCAAATTAAATGGAATGATACCACACCTGGTTGGTCCTCATTCTCTGCCAGTGAGTGACTTCCTTGTCAGGGCATGTGACAAGCTGGACTGGGAGGGAAGAAGCTCTCAGAAGAGCCACTCACATTACCTCTGCTTTCCAACCACCCCAACCATCTACCTGCTACTGAAGTTGGAAATGCCCTGAAATCAACTATGTTTACACGGGTTTAGGAAAGTGGGGGCCATTATTTTTCACTAGTCTGTCTTTCCTTGTTTTACCACAACATAGTGGATAACACATTAATATAAGGAGTATAACTAAGAAACATGCTAGAGAGAGATTATTTTCATTATTGTACATTTATACAAAAGTACACAAATAACACATTAGGTAGTATATCAGAATAGAAACACTAAATTGGCTTTAATGATAAAATATTCTACTAAGAAATTCAAAATATCTCTCACAAAGATTTTTTTGTGTCCACCACAGCCATGTCAGAGTCCTTCACTTTGGTCACAAAAGCAAGGTGGCAGGCCGCCAACATCAGCGTAGACGCTACATGCATCACAGCACTGGAGGGCGCGAGAAGACTCAGCAAGGAGGGGTTTGGCCTGGATGACCTTGTCCGGGGTGACGTTGCATGAATGAGTACAGCTTAGAGCATCTGCTTCCTTCGAAGTTCTTAGGAAAACACACACACAGAGCGTGAGCTTAGGCTTTTCCTTCCCAGGGAGCTTCTAACAATTGTCAGGGCTATGTGGGACGTCCAGGGCAAGAGTCCATCACACATGGGACACCAGCCCTGGATTAAAGCTCTCCGACTTTCCCATCCCTTCCCCTCCCAGAATTACTGTGCAAACGAAATCGGGTAATAAAAGTCAGGGAGTGTGAACTGCACGCAATGCCTGCTGCAGGCCATGGGGTGTGGGAATGGTGGGGAAGCTGCTGCAGCTGGCTGGGCCCTGCCCTGGGCTCCACATCTAACCCTACAACGGAGTCACCACTGCAGCTGACGACCAGTGTCTCTCATACTTTAGCTCCTCTCCCAAACTTCAGGCATCTCACATCTGACCTACACCCCCTTGTCAGTTGTCCTCCGTGGGGCCTCTGCGCTCTTGACCCTCTTCACTGTCCCCAGGGCCCTTGGCAGTAAACGAGAGCACACCCGAGTGCCTCCCAGTGAGAGGAAAAGAGGTCCCTGTGGTCACGCTCTGTGTGAGTAGGAGACAGAGCTCACCTCAGCATCCTCTGCAGATTCTTCAGTCTACAGACTGGGGACAGAAAGGACACTCGGCCAAGGGGCTGTCAAACACCTGAAGGTGTTTTGCTCACTGAGGTCAAGTGACAGAAAAGCAGTGCTGGCACACACAGTGTCCAGCACACGCAGCATCCAGGCTGAGAACAGTCTACCTGTGAACTCACAGACCCAGGCTTCAAGGAAAACCCTGAGACCCCCCACCACCTGCTCTTGCTTTCTCAAACCTGACTGTGGCTCTTGACCTCCCCCACCTATGGCCATTGCAGGAGTGGTCCTTCTCCAGCAGGGGGCCCCATTGTCCCCTGGAGAGTGTTGTTCATTCTTACCCACATGACTTCAGTGCATTGGTTACTTTAGAGTAAAGACAGAGGACAACTCCTATTAACATGAACATGGCTGCCAGGATACCACAACCAATGATGAGTATAATCGTCGTCTGGAGGTCAAAAGGCTTAGACATTCCTGGGCAGAGAAGTGGAGACAAGCAGTGAAGGTAGTCTCCCTCCCACACAACCATTAACCACCCCCACTTGCTTCCTTCAGTGAAGGACAAATGAACATCAAACACAGATACTTTGCTTCTAAACAAGGGGGATGTTCCCCCAGAGGCCTAACTTGGCCCAAAGTGAGTAGGCTGGATTCTTTCCAACCAAAAAGGGATGCAAATGTAAAATCCAGAAGTCAGAAGAACCAGGACAGACAGTGGAGGGCAGGATAAAGTGATCCGCCCTAGAATAGCAAACAGGCCTGAACCTGAGCCAGTGGCTGCCTTCCACGTGCCTGGGCTTTCTCAACTCTGCTCATCTTCAGAGTCAGAACTAAACCCATCCTGAACGTAAAGTTCAGAGGTCTTTTATGGGAATGACCACTTCTATATCAGAGTTCCAATAATAAGGAGAATTCACAAATCCACTTTGTAAATAGTGCATTTGCCTGTTTTAGAAAAAAGAAAGTTTTCAAGTCTTCTATTGAAAACTGCCATTTTCCTTACAAGACCTAAATCTTCAATACTTCTAATTTGGAATCATAATTTCTTTAAACAGACTCTGACATTCTCAGGGGGAACTAAGGAAGTAGGAAGCCTCTCTGGTCACCAAGGCCCACTTACTGCCTTCTGATTCTTCATTGCTGGATGAAAAGACAACAGTTTCAAAAACATACGGTTACACAATTAAAATAAACGTTAGGAAACAGTGCTGAGCATGGACTACCTCCCTAGCAGTTACTGGTCAGGGAGGCTCCAGAGGCAATCAAGAAAACAAACTATTGCCATTGCTCTTGATTTCCACCATAAAAATGGTAAGGCCTTATCACTGAAGACATCCACACACTTTGGTTGCAAGACAGAGAGAAATTAATGTCAAACTGACCAGGAAACTCTCTCCCTGCTATGCAGGTTACCAGGGAAGAAAAGACATCAGTGCTCTTACACAGCACTGGGTCCTGCATCCCACAATACTGACTGGCCAGGCAAGATGTGTACACTGGTGCAATAGTGGCATGAGGGTTATGGGGGCAGCCAACTACTTTCTGATTGGATTTGAGGCTCCAAAGGAGGGAATTCAAGCCATGTACTATAAAATCCTTGCCTGGGGAAGGACATGAGCCTTAGCAGGGAACCTACTACTGTTTTGCTAAATGGTCATGTTATCAAACTGCCTTCTAAATATTTATGCTTATACCCATAGATTAATGTTGCTCTCAACCTTGGTCAGAGAAGTTTCTTCTTGGAGTGGACAGTGGCTAATTCAGAGGTTCATAACAGGTCAAAGTGCTGGGAGGAGTGGCTATGAGTGCTTAGGTATAGATGGTCCATCTGTGCCAACCTCCAGCCCACACCACTAAGGCTCAGGGGATGCTGTGGGAAAGGGAGTGGAAAGAATGTAAGACCCTGAGGATGGACAGGAGGGCTGTGAAGTCTCATGGCCATGACATGGCTACTACACACAGGAACTCACAACAGCTGTAGTTATCACACAAGATCTAGAGCTAAAACTCCAGCATGAATAAGGGAGGGGTTGAGACACACCCCTAGTCAAGGAGCTATTGATTAGAAGCTGTTGGGGGAGGGAGACACACTTTTCTTTAGGGATGTGGCCACTGGGAGGTTGCCGATGCCACGGTGGATGGCCCTACTCCATGCTCACATAAGCAGCACTTATTGGACTTGGTGGACATGAAAGTGGAAAGGAAATACCTTGTAGAGGGGTCTGGGGGAGTGAAGGGAGGAGGGATAGATAGTATCAAGATAGATTGTATACATTTATGAAATTTTCAAAGAATAAATGAAATATTTTTAAAAAGAGAGAAAGGAAATTATCATTACTAAGCTCTGAATTTGAAGAACTTACTTTCAGAAGTGTGGTCTGCTGGAGTGGACAGCCATTGTTAGCTTCGACATCTACCCAGTCAGGGGCATGCTATGTGACATCAACTCTCTAGATACCAGCTTTCTTTCACAGAGTTCTGAATTCCATTCTGATATACCTCAGCACAAAGTGCCCAAACACTATTTTATAGCATGTATTCTTAGTATCCCTTTTCAGATTGTATTTCTCCCAGAGAAATTTGGGAATTGACTGCTAATCAAAATCAAACTGGGATTTCAATTTTTTAAAAGGCATAATGTGGGAAAACCAATATCTAAAAATATTCATATTACAAATATCTAGGCAATTATGAAAGATTGGTCAGATTTTGTATTTTAGCCACACAATGAAATGATATGTATCCATGTAAGATAATTCCATTATGGAGTCATTGGCATCATATCATACTACATGGGTAAGATGAAGAGATCCAAAAACATGACTCACCTAAGATGATTGAAATCATATTTCTCTGATTTCAAGGCACTTCAACCTAGAACATCCAATGCAATTAAATGAAGGAATGGTTTTAACTACAACATGTTATTTATTCCTCACTGCTCTGGACAAAACCTAAATGAGGCCAGGAAAAGCAGTGGTGATCAACATTTCCAGGTACAAGAACCTCCAGATTCACAAGAGCTAGGAAGGGTATGGAATCAGCTTCGATGCTCATCGGTGATGGACAGTAACAGTATACTACATAAACACAACAGAACTGTATTCAGTTGCAAAGAAAAATGAAACTATGAAATCTTCAGGAAAATGGAACTAGAAATATCACACTAAGTGATACAGCCCAGGCCTAGAAAGACAGCATCACATGTTCTCTCTTATGTGGATCCTAGCTTCAAATATTTAGATTTGTGCTTAACTTGGTGTGTCTGTTGAGGTGAGGAAGTCCTAAAGGGCCTATAAGAGAGGAGAGGGGAAGAGGCCTTAATGAAAGGTAGGACACAAGTGACAGTAGAGTGGAAAGGGGCATAATGAGGGTTAAAGAAGGAAGATGGATGGGGGAGCATCCGTGTTATGGAGGGAGCAATCAGCTACTTTCTGGTTGGATGTGAGGCCTCCTCCACAGGGAACATATAGTACTTATGCTTAGTATTATAAACCTGGTCAAAAACCTCTTGACTGGAGAGGACATAGATAAGCCTCAAGCAGGGGAAATACTATTGTTGCTTTGCTAAGTGATCATGTTGTCAAACTGCCTTCTAAATATTTATGCTTATACCCATAGATGCTCTCAACCTTGGTCAGAGAAACTTCTTCTTGCAGTGGGTAGAAGTTAATTCAGAGACTCACAACTGCTCAAGTATAGACAGAACATCTATATCTACGGCCACTCCCCCACTCCCAAGGCTCAGGGAACATTGTGGAAGAAGGGGTGGAAAGAACATAAGAGCCAGAGGATGAGGAGGAGTGCTGTGAAATGCTGCCTTCTGGACATGACATGGCCATTGAACCCGTGAACTCATAGCAGCAGTGGTTACACAAGATCAAGTTAGTTAAAATCCCAGCATAGATGGGACCTCTTGATAGGACCTATTGGTAGTTGGTGGCTGCTGGGAAAGGGAAAATCACTTTTCTTTGGACTGTGACCACTGGTAGGTTGCCCATCCATGTACAACATGGATGGACCCACATCCATGTACATGCTGGCATCACTAGTTTAACTCAGTGAATTATCAACAGCAATAAAAGAGGACATGGAGGTGGGAGGAGACATGTTGGGGAAAGAGTCAGGGTTGAGTGGACGGAGGGTGTCAGAGATGGTGGGTATGGTCAAGATATATTGTAGACAAGATTAAGTTGTTAAAGAATACATTTAAACAATTTAAAAAGAAATTCCAAAAGTTGTCGTCTCAAAAACAATAGCAAATTTAACAAAACAATTTCAGAACAATTTTTCAGAACCCTGGAAATCAACTAAAATCTTTAGACTTAGAGTAGTATACCAGAAAACATTTATTCAAGAGAAACAAGAGAAGCTGAAAACAGAGCAAGCTGTCCCCAAACAATAGGATTTTAGAGAGCTCTGACATATAGTCTAGAAGGCCATACACATGTGTAAGACATGTGCATGAATAGGACTATAAGCATGCCTAGAAAGACATGAGATGGACCTAAGTGACTGCATCTGGATGACACTGGAGGTGCTTCCCAAGCAGGGGGCGGGGGGAGGGGGCTAAGACAGAGGTTTTAGCTGCATGGCCCTCAGCAAAGACTGGGAGATTTTGTTGTTACTCTAAGAACTTAAATATTTGCCCAATCACTAACTGCCAGTGAACCACGTACAACACACAATGAATGACACAGATGTCATAGAAGTAGGTGAGAAAAGTCACTAAACAGACCACACAACTATAATAAACAGCAACAATAAATCTTGGGGAAAGAATCTGATTTCCAGAGATACCATGTTGTAGCATGTAAGATGTCTGGTATTTTTTTGAAGACTGCAAAGCATGTAAATAAATAGGAAAGTAGGGCCCACAAAAGATGTAGGAGCAAGCAATAAAAGCGCTAACTGAAAAAGCCTAGACCTTGGCCCTACTTTAACTATTAAGATGGGCCAAATGGAAATTATAGAGTAGGAAAGTATAATAAATGAAATTTAAAATTCAATGGAGGGGCTTAAGAGCAAATTTGAGCAGGTAGAAGAAAGAATTCATGAACATGGAAGATGAATCAAGTGAGATTATCCAGACTGAGGAAACAGAAGAGGACAGATAAAAGTGAACTCAGAGCTTTCAGTTTCTTCTCTAATTGTGTAAAGAGCGTGGGAGTTGCCACTCCCATGCCCACAAGAAAGAAGTTGAACAAACTAAAGATGGACAACTCTTCAGAAGTCAACCAGTGAACTGAACTCAGGACAAAGAGCCATTCCCAAACCTGTGCAGACAAGTGAATAAAGAGAAGCACAGCTTAGCAGGAGCAGGAGCAGGAGCAGGAGCAGTAGCCCCCACAGAGCCAGAAACTGGTACGCACACTTAAACGGTCATCAATGACTTCTAGGGGTCAGATGAGGATTATCTTGAGAATTTAGAATTCCTGAATGCTGGGTTTGAAAGCGAGAATGAGAATTCAG